TCATTTCTAGCTAGCTAAATTCATCAGGAAAGATTCTTCTGCATGTTAGTTCTCACGGTAGAGACGGAAGTTCACCCCGCTATAAAAGAAGCAACAAGCATTAAGGGGTCGGCTGGCCAGGGGTGGCAGTGAGCCAGTTCCCATTCCAGAGCGGTCGCTTCTGGAGCTATCGTAGGGGGTAACCAGAACATATTGGTCGGTTTTGGTCTTACTCCGGACTAAAATAAGCACAGTTGCATGCCCTGGGTCAGCTATAGGATGACCTATCAATGAGGCTCCATCGCAACGAAAAGCTTAAGCCATTAGCTGGACTTCACATTCAGTCATTGATATTATTACATCCAAGACACGTCCTCACATGCATGGACCGACATTCTTTGATGTGCCAAACAAAGACTATGCGCAAACTTATTTATAATTTCGAGTGGGGGAGAAGTTTCAAATACAACACGTGACCATCAAAATGCAACCCGCTTCATCTATTATTTACTATGACAGCGCAACAGATTTTATCTCCTTAACGAAAAAACTCGTCATGCATTTGTCACACCTAGGAAAAGCTTGCTGCAAATGACGGGTGGGAAGCTGGCTGCCGTGCTCTTTCCACATTCCCTCACTTTGTTCGACTTCTTACTAAAACCGACCGGAATCAGGACTCTGATTTTAATAACATGTGAAAATATCTGACCAAAAAATAAGAAGGGAACAAGACAATGTATATAACATTGAAAGAAAAACAGCTCATTTATCTGAAAAGAAGAAGACCTGCTAACACTACATGATCTATGAAGAGAACTAGCTAACAACAATTTCAGCTGGGATTCTAAGACCTGCCCCTGTTATCTATAAAATAAGAGTGCATAAATAAGATTGTAACTGACTTGAAACAAATAAGAGATGACTTCAAAGTCCAAAGTAATGCCCTTGACACGATTATCCACATAAACCAGCTTCTCACGGCCTTGCCACACGAGTATGTGATGGTAAAATTGAGCTTAGATTCCTTAGTTCGCATATATTTATAGAGAATTAGCAATATATTTGAACAACATAGCATGATAATGTTTGTGCAGAAGAATTAGCAGCCATTTGAGAATTAACAACCCTAATTCAGTTCTTCTTTATATAAAAAAGACCTAACTACGTTACTCACAAAACATTGTACTAGGTATCAGGAAGAGCAAAAAGGTGAAGAGGCAAAAAAAATTTGGACCATTTCTCGATTTGTGCGTGTCATCCTTGCGCAGGGGCCATCAGGGGCCATGCTAATCTTCTCTGTATCGTTCCAATTTTATCAGATGTCCCCGAAGGGACACACTGCTCTCAGAGTCCTCCGTATATGTAGTTTGCAGTAGCTGCTTCGGCTACCGGTGTGGGAGAAGGAGATGTCCTGAATATGTAAAAGACTAAAGAAAGGGACGATCCTTAGTTAACTTTAGCCGTCTAAATAAAGGCCCAGAGAGTTCCGGCCCAGCACATTAAGCCCGCTGGTAGTAATGGACTTTAACTTCTCTAATCTTCTTAAAAAATGTTCTCTTTTGTCTGCACTCTAAATTTAATAACTTATACCTTTATCTTATTTTTTCTCAAAAAAAGAAAATGTTTTCTATTTTGTTTTCTTTTGGGGAAAATAATGAAAATGCCCCAAAATTTGAATGGGTGTGAGATAAACACCCCAAACTTGTATATGTAATTTCAATACCTTGAACCTTATATAAGGAGTTATGTTAGCACCATGAACATATCATTTTCACCATAAAATATATGACCATAAATTTTAAATTTATATGGTATATCTAATATGGTGCTAAAATAACTCTTTATATAAAGTTTGTGATATTTAAATTACACCTGCAAGTTTGGGGTATTTACCTCACACCCCTTCAAAGTTTCGGATATTTGAATTATTTTTCTCTTTTCTTTTTTCTGCATTTAATCAACTTTAGGGTTTCTTTTACAAGAATTAATATTACTAAATATAATTCATTGACAAAAATGAAATCACTTTTTGAGTTTTCAAAAATAGGACTAAATAAGTGGTGTTAATAGATCTGGATCGGGCAGGTCAACCCGAAACCCGAGAGTCTACCCGGACCCCGGTGAGCCGTTTGAACCCGTAATGAACCCGGACGTCTCATCACCCGGTAAAAATGAAAAACCATGTGAAACCCTCACATTTTAAAATTAAGAACCCTATTTTCGAGGAGCGGCTTCATCGGTTTCTCGTGTCATCTTCCATCCTATGAAGCTATGTCCATCGTAATTTCATCTTTATTAACAAATAACAATCCATTGTCTCCATTGCACCAAAGCTTCTCCAAAAACGTACTTCATCAATCATCACTAAGCTTCTCCATGATATATATAGCTTACGCGTTTCTTTCAAATTGTATGAACAAGTCGTGAGCTTAAATTGGATTTGTGAGGCTCGATGAGATTGAAAACTGCAACCATGAATTGGATTTTTTCACACACAGATTCCCAACATAAGTAGCATAAGTAGGTTTTGAGGTTTAATGCTTCAAATAAAGTAGAACTTTTGACACACGAATTCATCTCCTATAATAAGTACCCGTAGCATTAGTTATATCAATAATGATTGATGTACACCCTAAGTTACACCTAGGGCCGGTCCTATGTAAATAGAGGATCTGTTCAATAGAATCTATTTGACCTTTCTAATACAAGTCCAAGTAAAAAAAATTATAATAAACCATTATGTAGTAATATAAAATCTTATAAACTCCGATAGGAGTAAGGGTATACTAATTATGAGAAATGTGTCGTGTGAATTAAAGCAACCGGTAGTTGTACATCATACATATATCCCATTGTAGCCATCTACGTTCGGTTAAAGTTAGTCTCGGTAATCATCTCTCTGCCTCAGACGTTAGGTTTTTGTTAAAACATTTATTACAAAGAAGTGATATAATCAAAGTTCTATCAAATTAGTTGAAAAAGCTGTAGCTGTCACCGAAATAATGCTCTCCCAGACCCCTAGTAATCTCAAATCCCAGTTGAGCTTAAAATTCTAATGGTAACAATAGATTGCTCATTCTTTGGGTATGACGATGAAAACAACTAACAAGCTCATCTCCCACCGTCCGATGATGCTTACGAGTATTATATCATATCTGAGAAAATTTAAGCGCATTTTGATTTGAATTTTAACATCGAAGTAAGTGAACTTAACGTTTGTTTAGTGTGTTAGTGAACTTAAACTTTGTAGTTCTACTTTAAATTGGTTACATTTAAAAAAAACATAGAAACTGAGAACCAATTTCAGCCAATAATCACATTTTTGGGAAAAGTTCAAATGGATCTTTTATTATTTCGATTCCATCACTTGAGTCCATATATGAAAAAAAAACATATAATAATCACATTCACTAGAGAGTCCATAATATTTCGATTCACTTTAAAAAAACAATCTAGAGAGTGGGCATATCACAAATCTTTCTATATACATACCAGAGTGGAAAGGTTGGCTTTCTTCCCGCCAAATGTCGCGGGTCAATATGTGAATCGAGTTTGCAATTCAAACTCATTTAATAGCGTGTTTTGTCCATTTTGTAATATCCCACTTATTGGCTCATGCAACGCTTTTTCTCCAAACTTATAGGTCAAATATATCCTTTTAAACTCATATTGGTTGGATACCGTGTGATTAGACTTTTTAATAAAAGTACTTTGTACTCCATACAAAGTAACTACAACAGATAAATTTCTTAAGGATATGGAGTACATTTTTACTATGTAGCATTACATATTATCCCTTTTAATGAACAGTTGAAAAAGACATGCACTATAACATGTTGGGTGGCGGAGTAAAAAACATATGTGGGGCCTAGCCAAAATGAAATTTCTGTTGTAGGGAGAATTGTTTGTAGAGTTCCATTACCGAGTGCCCTATTTATAGAGAGTTTAAAGGGTTTACAAGGACGGGCCAATAGGCTCATAATATATAGTTTACATAAGGCGACCCTAAAACATATTCTATTTCGACGACAGCACATTGTATAGAATTTCCTTAAACATTCTCCCTTGTGCTGAGTTGACCAGAGGATAAAGATTATAGCATTATGATAAACGTTTTCGTTAAGTCTATTCTTATTTGATCATTGCTTCGATCAATAAAGTATATATGTATCATTAACGCATTAAAAACCTTACCAAGTAACAAAACCCAGTAAGTAAGGTGATAGGTGTAAAAATTATTAACTTGCTAAAACATTGCCAATGAACAACACTCAATGGGAAAAATAAAAATTGGTCAAAGGGAAAAGATAGTATGATAGACTACTAAATACACACCAATTACTTTTGATTGTGATATAGTAATTATGTTCTTTTTCTTCAACATTGTTTTACTTTTGCAAAAGTAAAATGTGGGATGATGCATATTATGTTGTCTCATTAAAAACGTTATCAAGTAACAAAACCCAATGAGAATAAATAAACCTTGGTCAAAAGGGAAAAAGAGTACAACACACCAATATAACTAATAATAAATAAGTATGTGAGAACTCCTCCTAAGTGCAACACATCAATAAGAACCCAACATTTACTTGATATATATATTTTTAACTCGGTAGGTAAACCACCAAAATAAGTGAGGTAAATGCTAGGGAACATTTACAGGATATTATAGCATCAAAGAAAAGAGACTGCATGCTGAGAGGGGGGCCAGGCCAGAACCTCTCCGAAGGGCATTCGCTTCCAACCAAAAAAAGAAACCAGCAAATGAGATTTGAAAAGCAAACCAAATATGAAAGACTAACAATACACATAAAGAGTAAATAAATCTAATTTTATAGCCCCATGAAGCCCCCTATGCAAATGGTCTCCTATATTCCATGTATACAGGCCCTCAGAGACCAAATTTGCAACCCACCAAACGGCCTTATTGGTTTGAGCCGGAATTTCCATCCATTCAAGACCCAGCCCACCACCAAGCCCATTTTTTGAAGCATAGGAAACACAATATTCCAACATCTTCAAACCAACCACATCCACTTCCAAACATTTCACCTGAAACATCTCCACCCACCTTATAGCTTGTCGGCACACCTCCCCTTCCACATCTGTCGATCCATGGAGAGGAAAGCCTTGGGCAGCTACCGGAGATCCAGAATGGTCCCTTAGCAAGAAGCCCGCCGAAGATTTGCCATTTTGACGGAACACCTCCCAGTTGAGCTTCAGCACACCTCTCGCCGGCTTCATCCATCTGCAGACCTTAGGCTTTTCCGAGCAAATGACTGAGGTAACAACCCTTTCTCCTTCAATAGATCCCCGCCGTCAAGTTCATTGTGAGCATAACACCAAGAAAGCATAAATTCTCCAATACCCTGAATAATTTCCTCTTTCGCAGGTGTTTTGCCATTTCATAACGCATCCCAGTAACATTTCCACAAATGCCAAGTAATCACCCCTGGCAAGATAAGTTTGAAAATCCCATCCAAATTTTTTCTTTTCTCCAAAATCCACCATTTCATAATTTAAAGTTTGATTTGGCTGACCTTTCTTCCGTTATATAAGAGAGAGCTTTCATAAAAGTTCCAAATTGATTGAGCCACCAGACAAGATAGCAGTACATGATCCGAATCTGCACCAACACATCTACAGAGAGGACACCTGGATGGATATGCAACTGAAAAAGAGGTCAGTCTATCCGGGAATGGCAAGCAATTGTTCCACAACTTCCACAAAAATTCTAATCTTGGGCACCTTTTTTTTTTTTTTTGCCATATGTTTGTAGTAGATACCCCCCGGGCCATAATGCTAAGTAAGCTGATTTAGTTGGAAAAAACCCATCTGGTGTATGCTTCCAAGTGAGCAGATTATGCCCCCTCCCCTGACCACCATACTTTCAGCCTCTTCATTAATATGGCCGATTCTCCTCCAGGTAGGGGAATCCGTAGGCTTTATCATAACCTAAGCACGGCTACCATATTTAGCCTTCATAATTTGGGTCCAAATTGAATTTTCTCTGTGAAAGCTCCACCAATTCTCGATTGCTGAAACCTTATGAATATCCTGAATGGACCTAATACCAATCCCTCCCACTTCAGTAGGTTTACACAACCTTTTTAGGCTGGCCCAATGATATTTAGGCCTATTCTCCTTAAATCCCCAAAAGCAATCTGCAATTTTCCTATTAATGATATTAATAACTGCACTAGGTAAGTTGGATACAGTTAGTATATGTTTGATAGGAATTGGTACAAACTGGTTGAGAATTTGATTTATTGACGGAGTAAGTGCTTGGCGGGCCTAAACAATGGAATCAAAGGTTTGATGAGGTGGTGCTGAAAATGGTTTTAAAATAAACCAATCAGACAAGTGCGTATATAGCAAATTTAATGAGCATGGAAATGGTGTCATTATTTGTCTATATGTGGATGATATGCTCATATTTGGCACTGATTTGAGGCAAGTGAAAGAGACAAAAACTTTCCTCTGTTCAAACTTCTCCATGAAAGATATGGGTGAAGCGGAAGTTATCCTTGGAATTAGGATAATTAAGCAAGGTGATACTATCACCTTAACACAATCTCATTATATAGAGAAAGTGTTGAAAAGATTTGGGAGTTTGGATTGTTCACCGGTTTCCACTTCCATGCATCCTAGTTGGAAATTAGTTCCAAATAGTGGGAGCACTGTATCACACTATCACATCTTGAACATGCTAGGGTGATTGAGTGTTTGATGTATGCAATGACTAGCACCCGACCAGATATTGCATTTGCGGTAGGAAAGATAAGTAGATATACTAGTTACCCTAGTATATTTCCTTGGCAAGCCTTGAGGCGAGTGATGAAATATCTAAAGAAAACAATAAGCTACGACTTATGTTACAAGAGTGAACCTTTTGTATTAGAAGGTTATACAGATGCAAGTTGGATAACTAATCAAGAGGATTATTCATCCACAAGTGGGTGGTTATTCCTACTTGAAGGAGGTCTAAGTAAAAAAATATTATAATAAACCATTATGTGGTAATATAAAATCTTATAAACTCCAATAGGAGTAAGGGTATACTTATTATGAGAAATGTGTCGTGTGAATTAAAGCAACCGGTAGTTGTACATGAAGTTTTAATAATTGTACATCATACATATATCCCATTATAGCCATCTACGTTCTGTTAAAGCTAGTCTCGGTAATCATCTCTCTGCCTCAGACGTTAGGTTTTTGTTAAAACATTTATTACAGAGAAGTGATATAATCAAAGTTCTATCAAATTAGTTGAAAAATCTCTAGCTGGCACCAAAATAATGCTCTCCCAGACCCCTAGTAATCCCAAATCCCAATTGAGCTTAAAATTCTAATCGTAACAATAGATTGCTCATTCTTTGGGGTATGACGATGAAAACAACTAACAAGCTCATCTCCCACCGTCCGATGATGCTTACGAGTATTATATCATATCTGAGAAAATTTAAGCGCATTTTGATTTGAATTTTAACATCGAAGTAAATGAACTTAACGTTTGTTTAGTGTGTTAGTGAACTTAAACTTTGTTGTTCTACTTTAAATTGGTTACATTTAAAAAAACATAGAAACTGAGAACCAATTTCAGCCAATAATCACATTTTTGGGATAAGTTCAAATGGATCTTTTATTATTTCGATTCCATCACTTGAGTCCATATATGAAAAAAACATATAATAATCACATTCACTTTAAAAAAATAATCTAGAGAGTGGGCATATCACAAATCTTTCTATATACATACCAGAGTGGAAAGGTTGGCTTTCTTCCCGCCAAATTCCTAGACCAAGGAAAATATCCTATCGGGAGCTCGTTCCCGATCAAACATGTTTAATCATTTAAAATCATTACCATGAGGTTTACCTACCTCGAGGACTACCCGTCCTTTTCATCTTAGTATACATTATAGGGGCTAACCCCGCCATGAGAAATATTTTAAGGACACCGCCCGGTCCTGAATTTCTAACTGTAAACTACGAGTTTTGAGGATTGTTCAGTCCCTGGGTACTCCACCAATAATATTCCGAGTTTTGGGGACAGTCCAGTCCCTGGGTTCTCCACCAATTTTATACATATCAAGTTTTCAGGACTGTCCAGTCCCTGGGTACTCCACCAATAATATTCCGAGTTTTGAGGACAGACCAGTCCCTGGGTGCTCCCTCGACAATATTCCGAGTTTTGAGGACAGACCAGTCCTTGGGTACTTCACCATTTCTTATGATCTACCACATATCATCCTAGATAAGGTCTATATCATATCATTACTAACGACCAATCCAAGACTTAGTATTAAATCATCATATATCAATCCTTAGCATTTAAACATCATATTCCATGCAATTCCATGCAAAATATTCATATATAGGATCCAGTATTAATCTCACGTCGAACTGGGCTCAGATACACGTTTCGGCAAAAACGGGTACCGAAACCCGTAGCATATCCGGCGCCGGTTTTACCCATAACCGGTGCCGGTTTACTGATTTATTTAATAAACCGGGACGCAGTACCATAACCGGCGCCGGTTTTGCCTATAACCGGCGCCGGCTACCCCCTGGGCAACTGGTCAACATTTTTTGTTGACTCGCCATTTCAACTCTGATTGATCCGAATTTTTAACACAACATGTATTAAGTCATAAACAATCAAAATATGCCATTTTGGTCACCCATAATATTTCTTATATTTTATATATATATATATATATATATATATATATATATATTTCCAATCATTCCCATGTAAATTATTCTAGTTTATCTTCCATAAACTAGTTCACCTTGATAACTTGCATGATTAAACATTTTTTTATTCCTCACAAGGATATCACCTTGAATTACCTTTAATCACCTCACAAAATGAGTCATTCATGGTTCATCATTCAATTAAAATATTATATTCACAAAATTATGAACTAAGTCATTGATACTAGTTAATCATTTTTGTATATTTCTCATAAACTAGTTCATCTTAGTAGCATGTATACTTAAGCATGTCTTAATTCTTCACGAGAATAGTACGTGAATTTACTTTGGTCATTTCTCATATGAGCCAACAAAAACATTTATATTAGTTAATTATATCTTGTATAATTCCCTAGTTTATTTCTCATAAACTAGATTTTACTTTAGTGACTTGCATGATTTAATACTTGAATCCTTCACAAGAATATCATCTTGAATTTCCTTAGTCCTTCCCCAAATAATCATTCATGATTATTCTTCATCAATAATATTAGTAATTCTTTACTCATTAATCATGCCACTTTCACTTAATTTATAATCAATATGGTTAATCACATGTTTAACACTTTTAAACATTTTTATACATACTCACATACTATATTACTCTAGTTAGTCTCATACATAGTCCAAGTATGCATTTTTATACATTTGACAATAAAATATCCATGATTAATCCACAAATTAATCTCTTATTCATTAACCATATAATACATTCATATTTCACATTCACCATGACTAATCATGCATTTTAATCCATTTAATCATTTCTCAAATCATGATTATGATTTTATTTAGGTAATCCCACGTTTGACCGAAGAGTTACAAGACACATACAGGCCGTTTGGAATCACTGTTTTTCGGCTTATCAGGCTTATCAGCCAGCTTTTTCACCAAACACATAACTTTTACTTTCGCCCGCTGAATTGTGTAATAAGCAGAAAAGTAGGGTTGGAGTTACTTTTCTGGCTGTATTGGCTGAAGTTACTGTAGATGACCATTTTAGCTATTTTTACATATGATTTTCTCTTTATTTTTTTAATAAAATATATTTTAATTTTTTTCTTCTTAAATCAGCAGAATCAGCCAATGCAGCCATTTCAGTCAGAACTTCATAAATTTCAGCAGAATCAACCAAATCAGCCGATTTTCGTGCTACCAAACGGGCTCGTCGTCGTCCACTCACCTCGAAACGATGTTAGTGAGCTTTTATCCCCCTCGTTTGAACTCCAACGACTTTTGGAATTTTCTGGTGAAAACTCCGGCGGCTCCGGCGACTTTCCGGCCACTCCTGGATTCCTTGAGAAGTCTAGAATACTTTGGTAAAATTCCTAACAAGGTTTCACAACCAAAAGTGGTATAAACATCAAAACCTTCCGAGAAGGTGTTTTCCGGCGAACCGGTCCTACTCCGGTCATAACTTCGTTTATGGTTAAACTTAACCTTCCAAATCCTCGTTCTACACCTCTAGAAGTGTAGAAAAAGATTAAGGGTCCATCATATGATTTATAAAATCATATAAGATTAAATGAAGGAGGAAAAATACTAATGAAGTCATTAGCTTGATTTTCCAAGTTTTTCCTCACTTATACTAGCTTTTCTTCTTCCTTGAGTCTCCTCAAATCTTGAGCTCGGTTCTTGAACAAGGATATGAGATGTTGGAGACTTCCTCTCTCTATTTTGGGTGGTATGACCGAAGTGGGTAGGGGGTGGGGGGGGGGGGGTGGACGAGACCTTCCTCTTTGGTCTTACATGTCATAACAATGGGAGGAGGGTCCCTTTACCTATCATGTGTGTCTCTCCCATCCCCTCACACATCACACACCTCACTCTCATAATCACAACACTTATTTTTAGATTCAAAATCGTGGGTTGGCCCCCACTCATGTGGGAGGTCATCCCAATATGTCCCGAAGTGTACATTCGCCCCTGAAAGTTGTATTTTCTGGACTGTTTTAATTATATTTTATTTTATCGGGTTAAGTAAAATATATATCATTCTTCCAATTAATATTGGCCTCTAAAATAAATATATATTACCCAAATTTAATTTAGTGGTCCCCGGAATTTATTTCGGGCTGTTATTTGATAAATTACCTATACCGATAATGCGACCTCGTTTAAATTGAAAGGCCAACTTTATGTCTCAACCTTAATTTACACCATCATATAAATATTATCTAGACCAAGATGAATATTATACGTGGTCCGTAGATACAAATGGTTACCGCCCACGAGTGGGCCCAACGTGCATTTCACTATTTAAGTAATTAACAGTAAAAATGAGAACACGTTGCCTCGAAAATTCATTCATCATTTCTCATGACTAAAAATGTGGTTTCATATTTTGTGATACTTTTAAAAAAATGTTACACTTCTTTTTAAGTGGTCTGATGTGTATGAACAGATAAAATCTTATAGGTTTATTCTTATACATAAATATCTTCAAGGTAGGGTCCCCCAAAGGTAAACAAGACTATTCTTAGTCTTGATTTACTTTCTTTAACTCTGTACTTTATGAAAAGAAAAAAAAAATATCTGGATAAAATTCGGGTCCGGTGTTACATAGATGATTACCGAGACTAACTTTAACAGAACATAGATGGCTACAATGGGATAGATATATGATGTACAATTATTAAAACTTCATGTACAACTACTGGTTGCTTTAATTCACACGACACATTTCTCATAATTAATATTCCCTTACTCCTATCGGAGTTTATAAGATTTTATATTACTGCATAATGGTTTATTATAATATTTTTTTTACTTGGACTTCTATTAGAAAGGTCAAATAGATTCTATTGAACAGATCCTCTATTTACATAGGACCGGCCCTAGGTGTAACTCAGGGTGAACATCAATCATTATTGATAAAACTAATGCTACAAGTATTTATTATAGGAGATGATCGAATTCGTGTGTCAGATGTTCTACTTTATTCGAAGTATTAAACCTCAAAACCTACTTATGCTACTTATGTTGGGAATCCTTGTGTGAAAAAATCCAATTCATGGTTGCGGTTTTCAATCTCATCGAGCCTCACAAATCCAATTTAAGCTCACGACTTGTTCTTACAATTTGAAAGAAACGAGTAAGCTATATATCATGGAGAAGCTTAGTGATGATTGATGAAGTTTTTGGAGAAGCTTTAATTTGGTGCGATGGAGACAATGGATTGTTATTTGTTAATAAAGATGAAATTACGATGAACATAGCTGCCAGGGGCGGCCATGTATGTTCGAAGGCCTAGGTGCGGAAAATTAAAATGGGTCTAATGTTACAAAAAATTGTAAAACTCTTTTCTAGCTAAACTGACATGCATAATAATAATAATGTTAATAATAATAATTATTATTTAAAACATTTATAAAAATTGTAAAACCCCATTCTATCTAAACCGATCATATTATAGTATTGGTGATCATTATTTAGGAAGGAAACAATGGTGATCCTATTTGTACATTTTACCCATGTTTAAGTCATATTTAAGAAATCAACTCTATCATCACATCCTAAATTCCCCCCGCTCCAATGATGTAGTCATCCTGAATCATTTCATTTTTGGTAGCAAAAATTATTGTTCTTCAATGAGTTCTCATCTTGAAGAGGGTATTCATTATTTGACTTCTTTACACAAACAAATTTTTCTATTGAACTTATTTACTTAGCACCACTTTCTCTAACCTTCTCCTCTTTTTTATTTATCGTATTCAGATTCACTCCTTTTTATTACACCTTGGAATAAATAAAATTTATAAATTTATCATAATTGGAAATGTATGTCTAACAAAATCAACAAGTTATAACACCAACACTCATAAAAAACAATCAACAATTAAGAAATTAAACAATCAACTATGAATGTAATCAATTAATAAACTAATCCAACAATCATATCAGACTAATCTGCTTTGGAACATAATTTTTTTTATGAGGTTATAAGAGAATGTTTTTTTTATCAAGTGTGGATTATGTCCACAAAATTTCAGTTTAAAATTCAATCGTGAAGTCATTTAAATAAATTACTGAACAACAATGCGCAAAATATGTATAAAAATGCAGCGTTTTTTTCAGTAATTTATTTAACTTTACACTTCATAGACAACATGATCATAAATTTTCACCCGAAAAAATCCATTCCGAAAAACTTCAGCGAATTTCACCCGAAAAAATTGTTAGTTTAGGGCTGAAAAATCAGCCTACGCACACCTATTATAAAGAACTAAACTTGGGCCTATTTTTTACCCATTTTTTTGGGGCCTAGGGCGCCCGGCCCCTTGCACCCCCTAGGTCCGGCCCTAATAGCTGCATTGTTTGGAAGATGACACGAGAAACTGACGAAGCCGCTCCTCGAAAATAGAGTTCTTAATTTTAAAATGTGAGGGTTTCACATGGTTTTTCATTTTTACCGGGTGATGAGACGTCCGGGTTCATTACGGGTTCAAACGGCTCACCGGGGTCCGGGTAGACTCTCGGGTTTCGGGTTGACCTGCCCGATCCAGATCTATTAACACCACTTATTTAGTCCTATTTTTGAAAACTCAAAAAGTGATTTCATTTTTGTCAATGAATTATATTTAGTAATATTAATTCTTGTAAAAGAAACCCTAAAGTTGATTAAATGCAGAAAAAAGAAATGAGAAAAATAATTCAAATATCTGAAACTTTGAAGAGGTGTGAGGTAAATACCCCAAACTTGCAGGTGTAATTTAAATATCACAAACTTTATATAAAGAGTTATTTTAGCACCATATTAGATATACCATATAAATTTAAAATTTATGGTCATATATTTTATGGTGAAAATGATATGTTCATGGTGCTAACATAACTCCTTATATAAGGTTCAAGGTATTGAAATTACATATACAAGTTTGGGGTGTTTATCTCACACCCATTCAAATTTTGGGGCATTTTCATTATTTTCCCCAAAAGAAAACAAAATAGAAAACATTTTCTTTTTTGAGAAAAAATAAGATAAAGGTATAAGTTACTCCGTATTAAATTTAGAGTGCAGACAAAAGAGAACATTTTTTTAAGAAGATTAGAGAAGTTAAAGTCCATTACTACCAGCGGGCTTAATGTGCTGGGCCGGAACTCTCTGGGCCTTTATTTAGACGGCTAAAGTTAACTAAGGATCGTCCCTTTCTTTAGTCTTTTACATATTCAGGACATCTCCTTCTCCCACACCGGTAGCCGAAGCAGCTACTGCAAACTACATATACGGAGGACTCTGAGAGCAGTGTGTCCCTTCGGGGACATCCGATAAAATTGGAACGATACAGAGAAGATTAGCATGGCCCCTGCGCAAGGATGACACGCACAAATCGAGAAATGGTCCAAATTTTTTTTGCCTCTTCACCTTTTTGCTCGCTGCTCGGCTTCTGCACAAATCGATACGCACAATGTTTTGTTCTTCCTGATTCTCATTCGAAATCGGCTCTGTGAGTAACGTAGTTAGGTCTTTTTTATATAAAGAAGAACTAAATTAGGGTTGTTAATTCTCAAATGGCTGCTAATTCTTCTGCACAAACATTATCATGCTATGTTGTTCAAATATATTGCTAATTCTCTATAAATATATGCGAACTAAGGAATCTAAGCTCAATTTTACCATCACATACTCGTGTTGCAAGGCCGTGAGAAGCTGGTTTATGTGGATAATCGTGTCAAGGGCATTACTTTGGACTTTGAAGTCATCTCTTATTTGTTTCAAGTCAGTTACAATCTTATTTATGCACTCTTATTTTATAGATAACAGGGGCAGGTCTTAGAATCCCAGCTGAAATTGTTGTTAGCTAGTTCTCTTCATAGATCATGTGGTGTTAGCAGGTCTTCTTCTTTTCAGATAAATGAGCTGTTTTTCTTTCAATGTTATATACATTGTTTTATTCCCTTCTTATTTTTTGGTCAGATATTTTCACATGTTATTAAAATCGGAGTCCTGATTCCGGTCGGTTTTAGTAAGAAGTCGAACAAAGTGAGGGAATGTGGAAAGAGCACGGCAGCCAGCTTCCCACCCGTCATTTGCAGCAAGCTTTTCCTAGGTGTGACAAATGCATGACGAGTTTTTTCGTTAAGGAGATAAAATCTGTTGCGCTGTCATAGTAAATAATAGATGAAGCGGGTTGCATTTTGATGGTCACGTGTTGTATTTGAAACTTCTCCCCCACTCGAAATTATAAATAAGTTTGCGCATAGTCTTTGTTTGGCACATCAAAGAATGTCGGTCCACGCATGTGAGGACGTGTCTTGGATGTAATAATATCAATGACTGAATATGAAGTCCAGCTAATGGCTTAAGCTTTTCGTTGGGATGGAGCCTCATTGATAGGTCATCCTATAGCTGACCCAGGGCATGCAACTGTGCTTATTTTAGTCCGGAGTAAGACCAAAACCGACCAATATGTTCTGGTTACCCCCTACGATAGCTCCAGAAGCGACCACTCTGGAATGGGAACTGGCTCACTGCCACCCCTGGCCAGCCGACCCCTTAATGCTTGTTGCTTCTTTTATAGCGGGGTGAACTTCCGTCTCTACCGTGAGAACTAACATGCAGAAGAATCTTTCCTGATGAATTTAGCTAGCTAGAAATGATGACCATACCTTTGTAGGCTCAATAACTTATAGGAGTTCAGGCCAAGTCCATCTGCAGTGGGGCTTTATGCTCAAATGATTGCTGATTCCTTTGAATAATCATTATTTTGTCATTGTTATGCTGCTGCCCTGATAATTTGTGGCCATTTTTTGGCAGATAAACATCTGGAGCAAAAGTGTGATCCAATGTTAGCACACCAGACTGCTAGAAAGCTTTCCAGGTGGAGAAGATCTTGTGCCTACCGTGTGCTTGATTATTACACTGTGCCTGAAATGGAACTCCAGAGTACCAAGGGTGAACCAGAGAAAGAAACATTTTCCTTCAAGCCATATGAAGTAAGGACACTCATTCTATTGATATTCACATCGTATATTCTATTGCATTTAATTTTTTTTTTTTTGAAAGTCACGAGAAGCTTGTTTGTATATTTGCATAATCCTATCATGGGCATTAACGTTTCATCTCTTATTTATTGAAAGTCATTTACAAGCAATTTTATGCAATCTTATCTTATACGCCAGTCTTGGAATGACAGTTAAGTCGACGTTAACGAATCACCTAGTTCTTTTGGTGGATCATGTACTGTTTATCGGTCCTTTTTGCTCTTCAAATAAAGGAGTACTCATCATTTGATGAAGTATTTTTTGTCTTTTGTTCTGGACTGTGTACATGGAAGCAAAACAAAGTATATCTTAACAGAAAGGAGGGCAAGAGAGGATCATATATATGGCAAAGACAAACAAACAGATATTCACTAAATCCTGCCTTCAACCAAAAACCTGATGTGCCTGGAGCAGCGCATGATTCTTTTCATATGTTACGCCACTGTTATGGCACCCAATCATATCCCAGCAATGGCCCAAACAAGGTACTTTCATTCTTTCAACTCACTAAAACAGTAAAACATGTAATCTGTAGGTTTCAGGGCCCATTTATTTTTTCCCATTTCCACTTATAATTGGTTTTGAATCAATTAGGTACTGGGATGTATGCCTGGGATTGTTAGAATAGTAGAGGTGGGTCCAAGAGATGGCTTGCAAAATGAAAAAAATATCATACCTACAAGTGTGAAGGTTGAACTAATAAAAATGCTTGTTTCTGCTGGGCTGTCAGTTGTTGAAGCTACAAGTTTTGTGTCGCCAAAGTGGGTACCGCAGGTATGGAGTTTCCTTACTCTCTTTTTGTTTACATTTTAACTTTTTGCTATGATAACAGGTTAGATGAGAACATGTAGGAGTACTTGTATGTGATTATATGTTAGCATTTCATTTGAGTGTGATTAAGGCTATTGTTCGATAAATTAGCTACCCCATATTTTTAAATAACCATTATTGTTATGTACTGTCAAGGATTTCCTAAAGTTACGTTAGTGAAGAGAGTGGTGCATTTTGCTTCCCTTAGTTAGTTGTGTTAGTGATGAGTTTGGTGTATTTTGTTCCTTTAATTTGAAAACTTTTCTTAATCTACAGCTTGCTGATGCAAGGGACGTAATTGAAGCAATTCAAAGTATTGAAGGAGTGCGATTTCCAGTATTAACACCAAATATGAAAGTGAGTTTCTCATATGGAGGGGCTATGCTAGGAATAAGGCTTATCATCATAATCATAGTTACTATTACTGCTATGACTACTAGTCTACTACCAACACAACCACTACTCATCATCGTCATCATTATCATCACCTTCATCCCAACTTGTTGGGGGCTCTGACATTAAACTTCTAGTGTAATTAAGACTATGAATTCATGCATTAAGCATTGGCAATGCTACGTAGGATGCCATTCCCATATCAACTTCATAAGAAGGGATACTACACTGCCACCACTACTAATACTAATACTAATATTTTTTTCACGATATAGGGTGGTGATAATAAATAATATTTTTATTACTGCTATTACTACTACTAGTACAACTACTGGATCTATTATTATTATTATTATTATTATCATTATTATTATTATTTGATAATCTGGTGTTACAGCATTGTTAACATTACATGTCAAATATTGAACCTTGGTGTACTAATTTATAAATGTGTCGTTGTTGAGGGTTTTGATGCTGCTGTTTCAAGTGGGGCCCAAGAAGTTGCAGTATTTGCTGCTGCATCTGAGTCATTTTCTCGGTCAAATATAAATTGTAGCATTGAAGAGAGTCTCGCCAAATATCGTGATATTGCCCACGCAGCCAAAAATCATTCCATTCCAGTTCGTGGGTATGCCTTCTCACATGTTTACAAATTCTTGTTTTAAAGTTGCATCATCTTTGAACTTTCTTGGTTCTCCAGGTATTGATTTATTAATTTTTAAAAACGGTAGATGGGCACACAATTTTCTTTATGTTTTGGTTAAACGTGTATATATACTTCTTTTACCAGATATGTGTCATGTGTCGTGGGCTGTCCAGTGGAAGGATCAATATCTCCTTCCAAAGTTGCCTATGTTGCTAAACAACTTCTAGATATGGGTTGCTATGAAATATCCCTTGGTGATACAATTGGGGTTGGCACTCCAGGTAGTGATAGACTGGTCTTTCTCTATGCCATTTTCATTGTAAGCTGATTTTGTTTGGGAAGTGGAATGGGCAAACGTACAAAATTAATAACGAATTTTGTCAATTCTAGCACTTGATCTTCCAGTAGAGGCACTAAATATCATTGCAAGGGTTCTAATGCTTTTTAATGTGCTAAGTGGTTTCACGGTGGGATAAGAATTGAACACGTTGACGCCTATCATTTCCGTTTTGATTACTTTTCGTTCATAGGTCTTTTTACAACTTTTGACCTGCAACTACTTTGCTCAGGTACGGTCGTTCCAATGCTAGATGCTGTTTGTGAAGTTGTTCCTGTGGAGAAGCTTGCTGTCCATTTTCATGACACATATGGCCAAGCCCTGTCTAACATTCTTGTGTCCTTACAGGTAAGTGGCTATTTGTGGGATACCAATTTGTGTGAAGTAATAAATGGTTGGAACCATGCAGTCCTTGGGGGGAACTACCAACGGTTGTTATATATTAGCTTATGAACAAAGGATGGTCTGAAATTCACAGCTTAGTGATCTGAATTGAGGTTTTTATCCTTGATCTGGCCACAGTGAATATTTTATTTATGGAAACAAATAAACCTATGTTAATTTATTAGTTTTTCCGACATGAAAGGTAACTGCGATAAGGAATATGAAGTTGGGTTGGCATTTTTGGTTCGATATAGATGTTCAATTTTCCGAACACATTAACATACCAGATTGGTAGTCTAGTTTTATGTTCAGACCTCAAGTTTCATCATGGATTTTGTTGAATGTCCCAGTTCTTAGGGGTATGTTTGGATCTCCTAGAAAGCAAGGGATGGAAAAAATAGCATTGAAAATGATTTATTATGTTTGGTTTTACAGTAGAAAATGAAAAGGACCTTGAAATATTCTTAGTTTTTTTCTGTTTTGAAAATCTCATATGCTTAGATTTCTTAAATAATAGACATCAATAGATATAGGGAGGATTGGAGATTGCATCCCAACATTTGATTCAAATTTGAGATTGCACCCTAAAACTTAAAGTTTACACCCTTCTCTTAGCGGTTTGCACTCTATATTGAAGTTTACATCCCATTTTTAGCACTTCCTTTGAACTTAGCACAAATATCAATGATTTTGAAAATGGGGTACGAAATCAAATTTGCATGAAAAAATGGGGTGCAAAGTCCAACTTCCCCTCAAGTGAAACAAGTTTCTGCCAAATTTACATTTTTTAGTTTCAGACTATCTTTTATTGTCTTCCTCTATGCTGTTTCCTTCCAATTTTCTTCTATGTTTGTTGTTTTTCTTTCATATCTTTCCCCGGGATCTAAAGGGGCTGAAACACTGAAGTTAATTGGATCGGTGGTGGCTATGTTGACAGATGGGAATCAGCACAGTGGACTCATCTGTATCAGGACTAGGGGGGTGTCCATATGCCAAAGGCGCATCAGGAAATGTGGCAACTGAAGATGTTGTGTATATGCTCAATGGGATGGGAGTGAAAACATTTGTAGATATCTCGAAGCTTTTGCTTGCTGGAGAATTCATCTGCAAGCATTTGGGGCGACCTTTGGGCTCTAAGGCGGCAATTGCCCTAACCCAACGATCCCCGTCTATTACTTCCAAACTTTGAGGTACTTTGTGGGAAGCACCCCCTAGCATGTCTCATGCACTGGAAATATCATATCACACTCCTAGGGAATGAAGAGAAGGATATGCAATGCTTATAAGCTAGTGGACCTCCCCTGCAGAATGTATTTTTGTTTTGGACACACCAAATGTAATGGGTGGCAATCCAAAATCTTCTGTATTTATTGAACTGGAGCAGAGCCAGCACTAAAATCTCCTAAAATACATCCTCAATTCAAACTTCAAAGCACATTACAATCCTGATAAAACCTGCTAAATTAAGAGGCCGTTTGGCAACCCGGTTTTTCAGCTTATTAGGCTTATCAACCAACTTTTTCACCAAAAACGTAACTTTTACTTTCACGCGCTGAATTGTGTAATAAGCAGAAAAAGTAAGGTTGGAGTTACTTTTCTGGTTGTATTGGCTGAAGTTACTTTTAATGACTATTTTAGCTATTTTTACATATAATTTTTTCTTTATTTTATTAATAAAATATATTTTAAAAATATTTTTTCTTAAATCAGCAGAATCAGCCAATGCAGCCACTTCAACCATAACTTCATAAATTTAAGCAGAATCAGCCAAAGCAGCGGATTTTCGTGCTACCAAATGGGCTCTAAATACGATAGTATTTGGTTTCTTATTTTGCAATTGGATTGCCAATTACTTATCAAAATCCGCCTAATGTAATTGTTGGGGTGTTTTTAATTGAACTCATTTTAATTCTAAGCAGATTAGATAAGATCAAATTTAAATAAATTAGATATAAACAAGCAAACAACTCGCCAACTCGGGCTGACTACGTGCCACGTTCGGTCCTGGTCCCCGGAACAAATATAGGCCAACAATTTACTTCTTAAGGAGTGTTTGCAGATGCTAAAAATACACTTTGTTACTTTTAGCTTAGAAAAAGCTGAAAATAGTGTTTGGATTCTATGTTATGAGAACCAAACCGGACCAGTCGGGTCGACTCGGTCACCCAGAGCCCAATTTGGTCCGGTCCGAGTGTCGGACCCCAACCCACAAATGTGGCCGAATCAGATAAAACTTGCTGACCCGCTTGACCCGGATCGTAAACCGCGATGGTCCAAATCCGGATAGGGGTGGGCACGGTCGGGACGGTCCTGGATTAGGGTTATCCCGGTCCCGACCCAATTAGTAATAACGGTACGGGATGGGACACGCCTTTGTCCTAGCCTTGTTCCACTTTCCCATTTTGGAAAGTTTTTTGTGGTTACAATTCATTTACTTTTTTCTTACTCAACCACAACCATACATTTCCACTTTATTCCCACTTTCTTAAACTCCGTTCCAAGTCAATGCAGGAACAATTTTCCGGGACGGAGGGAGTACTATTTTTTACTCCCTCCGGTCCCAAATGAATTTGACACTTTCCTTAAATGGCAGGTCCAAATGCATCTTCATACTTCCATATTAGGAAATATTTTGAGTTAAAATGTCTAAACTACCCCCAACTAACCTTATTCAATTTACCCCATCCCCCCTACCATCATTTCATTCGCACTCTCTCTCCCCCCTCCTTACCCAATTTCATTCGCACTACCCTTCCATCTCTCTGTCTTTCTCTCGAACCTTACCCCTCACCTCTGTCTATCTGACTTCCATTTCCTCCACGCCTGCAACCACCTTCTCTCATCTCCACCGTCACCCGTCGTTCTACTCACCTCCAAACCTCCATTATCGGCATGGATCGGAAACCATCACCCCCCAAAACCCCTAATCCGTCGGTCGGGCTTCTTAAATCGACAGATCCGACTGATGTTAAACCCTCAGAATCTAAACCTTCACATGCAACTGCAAAGGAAGAAGCAGTTCCATGGAGACCGATCTTCGTTCGTTTTAATTACGCATCCTCATCTGAAACTGATCCGAACTGGAGATTGCGTAAGAAATACAGATCTAACTTGGTCTCGGATACCTACGAAGGTTTGGACGGCCTGGATTCTGAACTCGGGCCCGATAGCGGATGAAGGAGAAGAGAGCGACGACGGCGGTGGGGAAGACGACTGCAACGAACGGATTCCTTAAGGGCAGTAACGTTCTAAACCCTTTATCGTTCTGTCTTTTAAGTTGTCTGGGCTTTGCATTTTTTGTGAGTGGCCGGTTTGGATTGTTGTGTGACCGATGATGATTTTAGGGTTGTGAATTATTGATATGTGGATCGCATGTGTGTTACGAACACTGATTCACCTATGATGTGTGTTTGCCTATGCTATGAGTCACCTATGATGACTTTTAATTAATTTAAGGTGTGGTAGCATAGAACTTGTAACCTATGATCATGATTAATTGTGGTTTGCCTATGCTAATAAACCTGTGATGTATTTCATGCATGTGAACTGTGGTTTGCCTATGCTAATAAACCTGTGAGACTTCTTTGATGTATCTATGATTAATGTGAAGTGTATATGTAAACAAGTGTACATCAAAATATGTCATATGCTTATATTGCTTCTGTGTAGCTAAATTATTGTACACTAGTAGTGGGGATACATCAAAACATTGTACTCTACTGCCTGTCCTAGTACATACGAAAACAATACCCCACCTAGTCATTACAAACCTGTGTGTACTTACAAAACATTATAAAAGTAAACCACAAAGGGTAGTTACTTCATACTTGAAGATGTTGTGCATCTTCATGTATGAACTGAGACCCTTGAGTTGGATTTGTGGAATTTGTTGCCATCTATCCATCCATGAAAGTCTTAGCTGTTTGATACAACTCAGTGGATATCTGGACATTTCTTGGTAGCATTCCCTGTCTTTGCAACTTGTCCTTGCCCACATGTGGTAGCTTGAAATTATTCTCTCCTCTGTGATGTAGTATTTCTTGCATGACATATTGATAGCTCAAAAATACTTTGTTCAGAGTTTGTGGTGTCAGCTCATCATATAAGGCTTGAACTGCATGTCTTAAATCCATTATGTTCTTTGGGGCTTTTTGATCCTTTATAATATCAATAGCCCTAAAGAAACCAAGGTCCAATACATATAAATCTGGACTGTTGGGAGGTTGAAATTGTAGTTGGATGTTCCATCCATCCTGTGATCCTGATTTCAGAAACTCTGCATCATGTATTTCTATGTGTGGCTTGGCATTATCTTGTTATATTATGACCTTTTTGTTTGATGAGTGTGGCCACTTGGCTTTGATTGCTGGCAGTAGGGTGTTTATGAACATGTCTCTCATAACTTGCCTAGTGACACTCAATGTTGGTTTGGTTTCTAAAGTCCCAGCTGGCCTGTTTTTGCTTGATCTCTTAGTTGTGTCTTCATATGTGAATGGAAAAATCCCTATTTCCCCATCCCACTCCACCTCCCCACTGTCGGCAATTCTAGGCCTTCCTACTGCAGTCAGAAACATTATTTTGGGCAAAAAATTTCTTAGATTGAGTTGTTCTAAATGGATCATTTTCCGTGGGAAGGGTGTAAAAACTTGTTGTCTCTTTTGACAAATAAAACCACTTTTCATCTATGTGAACACAGTCATAGAAATCATGAAATGTTGGACTTGTGTGTACTGATTGAGGACTGATTTGACTCTGTTAGCCGATATTATCCCACGGCCAATGCACATAATTGTTCTCATAATTATCCAATACAATTTGTGGTACATAATATAGGTCGTACATATCCATTAGGCTGCTGCCAATTATTTAGCCACGTATGGCTCCAACTAACTATGTATCTAGACTACTTTTGATAAATAGTTTTACGTAGATAGCTTTTGGATACATAGTAGGACTCTTGTACGTACAGCCTATTAATAGGCATATTCAATAACATTGATCACCACGGTGAATCTCACATTCCAACTTGGTATCAGTAGCTTTTCTTCTCCAATGGCTACCACCAAACCTTCCGCTTTTCACCCCGCTTTAGCTATCTCCAACATTAAAAATTTTATTCCTATTACTCTAGACATCGAGAACGTTGAATACTCTTCATGGGCGGAGTTGTTCAAAATCACAGCCCGCGCATATCAAGTTCTCGATCACATCCTTCCCTCCAAAGACTCATCTACCACCGCTTGTTCTACTTCTTCAGAGTCTACACCCGAGGAGCTCCTTGCTCAAGCCGCTGCCAAGGCAGAGGCTGCTGCCCTATGGAATCGTTTGGATGCCGTTGTCCTTCAATGGATATACGGTACGATATCGCATGATCTTCTCCATACCATACTTGAACCCGATGCTACTGCCCAAGAGGCCTGGGATCGGCTCACTGAAATTTTCCTTGACAATAAGCATTCTCGTGCCGTTCATTTGGAAAATTTATTTTCTAACACCCGCTTGGAGAATTTTCCAAATGTCGTCGCTTATTGTCGAACCCTCAAAACGTTGGCTAATCAGCTGCACAACGTTGGCTCTACAGTTACCCCTGAACGCTTGGTTCTACGCCTGGTCAACGGACTTACTGCCCAATTTGACACAGTGGCGTCATTAATCCAGCAGGCCACCCCTTTGCCCACTTTCCAAACTGCCAGATCAATGATTTTGCTTGACGAAACCCGCAAGGCGCATCAGCTTGGAGCTTCCTCTGCCAGTGCACTCCTCCATGGTTCGACGTCCCAGCCTGCTCCTCCTCGCCAGACTCAACCTAGCCGCGGTGGCCGCGGTTCCTCTTCTGCCAGACGAGGGCGTGGCGGTCGTGGTTCACCTCGGCCCGACCCCCCTCCTCCCAACGCTTGGACATCACCACCACCGTGGGCCTATTGGATGCCGCCGTCGCCTTGGGCCATGCCGCCGTGTCCCTATCCATCCACTCCTTGGTCTGGCCCCTCATCACCTCGCCCTACTCCTGGAGCAGGAATTCTCGGTGCTCGCCCCAACCAGGCACATATTTGGGGACCAGCCCCTGCACTCACCGATGTCAGCACCGCCATGCATACCATGACGCTCACACCACCGGATGATAATTGGTATATGGACACCGGGGCAACGTCACACATGACTTCAAATTCGGGTACTCTCTCATCTCTTTCTAATTTAGGTACTAAACAATTCATTATGGTTGGCAATGGTAATACCATACCCATTTCGGGTCTTGGACAAACCACCCTCTCCCCCCCTCATCCCCCACTACAACTCCAAAATGTTCTCCATGCCCCGTCCCTCATAAAAAATCTTATTTCCGTTCGCCGTTTTTCTACTGATAATTCTGTGTCTGTTGAATTTGACCCGGTTGGTTTTTCTGTGAAGGATCTCCGCACGGGCACAGTTCTAATGAGGTGTAACAGCTCGGGTGATCTGTATCCCATTCAGCCTCACATATCCAGACTACCACACTCGGCTCTTCTCACCACCTCCGCTACTACTTGGCACCACCGGCTGGGTCATCCCGGCGATCCCGTTTTTAGCTTTCTTAGAACAAATAAAACTATTCCTTGTTCTTCTCTAAATAAATCTTTATGTACTTCTTGTGAACTTGGCAAACATACAAAATTGCCATTTTCAATTTCTCAGTCTGTTACTTATTATCCATTTGAAATAATACACAGTGATTTATGGACATCCCCTGTTCTTAGTTCTACTGGTCATCGGTATTATTTAATATTTGTTGATGATTATACCAAATATGTTTGGATATTTCCTTTAACCTCTAAAGCACAAACCTTTCCCATTTTTGTTAATTTTCATGTTTATGTTCGTACCCAATTTGAACGTAACATTAAAACTTTTCAATGTGACAACGGGAAAGAATTTGATAATGCTGCATTTCGTACATATGGACAAAAACATGGCTTACACTTTCGTTTTTCTTGTCCCTATACTTCTCCTCAAAATGGCTCGGCTGAACGGTATATCCGCACTCTAAATAATATTGCACGGACTATATTACTTCATGCCGCTGTCCCCGCCAATCTCTGGCCTCACGCCATCCATATGGCCGCCTATCTTCATAATATCCTCCCTAGCAAACCTCTCCACTACCTATCACCCACTCACCTCCTTTATCATAAAATACCAACATATGACCATCTTAGAGTTTTCGGTTGCTTGTGTTTTCCACACCACCCTTCTGTTCATATTAACAAGCTTGAAGCCCGTTCTACCCCGTGTGTCTTTCTTGGCTACCCTCTCTACCACAAAGGTTATAAATGTCTTGATCTTCGCACGAATCGAATAATCATCTCTCGTCATGTAACATTTGACGAAAACATTCTTCCATTCAAAAATACCACATCCTCCCCCACATATAATTTTCTGGATGACCCCAACCCCATGCTCCGTCTTCTGCCTATTTTATCCGGATCACATTTCCCAAATCCCCATTCGGTGCACACCGACCTCTCTACCCACCAAAACTCTCCACCTCATCCAAATAGCCTGACACCTTCTGCCACTCCTACACATACGGCCAGCCCATTAAATCCATCCCCACCCCACCCAAATATTATCCTACCACCTCCTAATATCCCACCTCCAGCCCCCTCACGTCCTATGCATGCACCATGCAAACCCCCAGCTTCTCATCCCATGCAAACGAGAAGCCGTTCTGGGATTCACAAACCCAGACAACTATTTAATTTATTCATCTCCTCCACACCGTCTCCTCTTCCCCGTTCTCCTATTCTTGCCCTTCAAGACCCTAATTGGAAAGCCGCTATGGATGATGAGTTTAGTGCTTTAATTAAGAATGAGACTTGGGAGCTAGTTCCCCGCCCACCTAATGCCAATATTATTCGTTGTATGTGGTTATTTAAACATAAATACAGGTCTGACGGTGTATTGGAACGTCACAAAGCTCGGCTCGTGGTCAATGGTAAATCTCAACAGGTCGGCATCGATTGTGATGAAACTTTCAGCCCAGTTGTTAAACCGGCTACTATTCGTCTTGTACTCAGCATTGCTCTCTCCCAATCTTGGCCCCTTCATCAGCTCGACGTCAAAAATGCTTTTTTACATGGTCAGTTAGAGGAGACTGTGTATATGCATCAACCACCGGGCTACCGTGACCGCTCTCGCCCTCATCATGTTTGCCGCCTTTTGAAATCTTTATACGGCCTCAAACAAGCTCCTCGGGCTTGGTATCACCGTTTTGCTTCTTACCTTGCCAAGATTGGATTCACTCACAGTACATGCGATCACTCTCTCTTCATATATCATCAAGGTCGTCAAACTGCATACCTCCTCCTTTACGTGGACGATATTATTCTTACCGCTTCCACAGATCACTTCCGTCAATCCATTATTTCTCAACTGGCTGCCGAGTTTTCTATGACGGATCTTGGACCTTTGACATACTTCTTGGGCATTTCAGTCACCCGCCATTCCTCCGGATTATTCCTCTCACAGTCCACTTATGCCCGCGACATTTTGCACCGTGCCGGTATGGCGGATTGCAAGCCCGTCAGCACTCCCGTTGATACACAATCCAAGCTCAGTGCGTCTGATGGGCCCTCAGTTGAGAATCCTACACTTTATCGCAGTCTCGCCGGCGCACTACAATACCTTACTTTCACCCGGCCTGACATATCCTACGCGGTTCAACAGCTCTGCCTCTTCATGCATGATCCCCAGGAGCCCCACTTTCATGGACTCAAACGGGTACTACGCTATATTCAGGGCACTGCCCGTTTTGGCCTTCATCTCGCTTCGTCTCCTCTCACGGACCTAGTATCCTACACTGATGCTGACTGGGGCGGGTGTCCCGACACTCGACGATCTACTTCAGGTTATTGTGTTTTTTAGGGGATAATCTTATTTCTTGGTCCTCCAAGCGACAGCCTACATTGTCCCGTTCTAGCGCCGAAGCCGAATATCGCGGTGTTGCCAATGTCGTGGCTGAAACATGTTGGATTCGCAATTTATTAATTGAGTTACGTTGCCCTCTTACCAAAGCTACTCTTGTCTATTGTGACAATATTAGTTCTGTATATATGACTGGCAATCCGGTTCAACACCAGCGCACCAAACATATAGAAATGGATATTCATTTTGTTCGGGAAAAAGTTGCTCGGGGAGAGGCTCGTGTTCTTCATATTCCGTCTCGCCAACAATTTGCTGATATTTTTACCAAAGGTTTACCTCGAATATTATTTGATGACTTCAGGTCCAGTCTCAACGTTCGTACTCCTCCCGTTTTGATTGCGGGGGCGTGTTAGCCGATATTATCCCACGGCCAATGCACATAATTGTTCTCATAATTATCCAATACAATTTGTGGTACATAATATAGGTCGTACATATCCATTAGGCTGCTGCCAATTATCTAGCCACGTATGGCTCCAACTAACTATGTATCTAGACTACTTTTGATAAATAGTTTTACGTAGATAGCTTTTGGATACATAGTAGGACTCTTGTACGTACAGCCTATTAATAGGCATATTCAATAACATTGATCACCACGGTGAATCTCACATTCCAACTGACTCAAACAAAAGTGTAACCTTTTCAATTTACATGCTTCTGTTAGAAGAGGCTTGATTGCGCTTGAATGTCTCCTTATCTGCTTTGTCTTAAACCACCTGTGCACTGTTGTTTTTTAGGCTTGCATAACAAATGCCAGTGATATAAGGGAATCTTGGCAATGTTTTGCAT